ATCAATCTCACTGTAAGCTACGATCACTAAAATCGTTGCCAAATTATACATGAAGCTGGAGCTCTGCAATTAGAACTCCTGATGTGTAATTTGTCCCTTAAAAACAGACTTGGAGGCAGGATCCAGATTGGGGCTGCAGAACTGGGGAACTCTCTCCCCTTCATTTGTTTCTCTGATAAAATGACCAGGCCTGGCGGCTTTAAGCCCAAGTAGGAAAAAAATAGGAACTCATATTGTGTGAGTGTGCGGTGCATTTTCTATTAGGGAAACAATGTAAGAGAAAATGATCAATCTCTCTTTCCCCAGTGCCATGGTCCATATTGTCCTCCCCCAGCATGGAACTCCAGTGCAGGATCGCCAACCTCCAGGTGGGAACCATAGTTCTCCTGGAATTACAACTGATCTCCAGGCTACAGAGATCGGTCCCCCACTGGAGAAAATGGCAACTTCTGAGGATGGACTCTATGGCATCACATCCCTCCCTAAACTTTGCCCTTCCCAGGCTCCACCCCTTAATCTCCAGGAATTTCCCAGCCCACAGCTGGCAACCCTGCGAGTCCAGGATCATGCGGAGACTGGCCCTTAGCTCCTCAGTTAGCAAGCACTTGGGTCTGTCCCTCTTCTTCTTTGAGCACTAAAACAAGGAATGGAGTGCATAATCTCATTGTGTCTACAGTGACCTCTTCAGCTATAAAGCATGGATGCTGACACTACCAAAAGAAAGGTTATTTTCTTTCTGATAGTCACTTGCTACTGCATGTTGTTCTCATGAAAACAACACTGATTTATGGGTTTTTCAGAATCCTGCCTTGCAAAATATCCATAAATGAGAACAGTGCATCTGTGGAGAACCTTGGCCCCTAAAGTCCTGTTCACCTTTAGCTCTTCTCATAAAGATTTCTAATGAAATAATAAGCATCTTCCCAGTTTGTGCCTGCTCTGCATCGCATAGTAATTGGATTAAAAAGAGGTCTACTCACAGAATGAATTTTCTTGCTTCCCTTTCCTACTTCAATCCCCTGAGGTATCCACCCTTCCAAAATGCTCTTGAGGACTGGAAGACCCTTGGGAACAGCATGGATAGACAGTGGGAAGACGGAAACCACATCCCCTTTTTGTGTGTGCCAAAGTACCCTTCCACTCTCAGAAAGGGGGTGTTTAGACACATATTGTGGGGCTGCCATGCAACTTGCCCACAGGGCTTTTATTCTGGATGGAAGGTGGAAGATGAGATGAGTAGGGTGTTACACTGCAGATGTGATATTGCCTAACTCCTGCCTTCATAGAGGATTTCTAAAAACCTGTTAATCTGTCACAATAAATGTGCATTTGCATGCTTGGCAGTATAGAACACTGCAACCATACAAAAGTCAGTAGTGGGACAAAGGCGAGGAGGAAACTTTATAGCTCCACCTACAGTTAATGCTTACAATGTCTATCTTCTTTAGATTTCTGTCCACATGTTTCGTTGCATGATATGACAGAAGAGAAACACATTTTTACCACTTTTCAAAGAGTGTTAAGCACATCTTACAGCATGTCCACACATACTAGCACACATCAACAGGAGGGGGAATTGAGGGAAGATGGCTGCCAGCTTGAAACATCTAGGCAGAGTGTACATCTAAGAAATGACTAATGTGCAAATGGTTTCATCAAAGTATTTCATAGGCATCTAATTAGTTAAAAAATTTGCCTATGAAAACTCTTTGCTTAACCACAAAAAGAAAATCCACATGGATTGAAGAGTGTAAAGGAAATATCATACTCCTGCCCAAAAGGAAGGCAGACTGTTAAACCACTGAAGTCATAAAGTGCAGTTATACTCAGCAAACCAGCATGCACTTTCATTCATAAAACCAAACCTCTGCACTTTGCTGTCAACCCCAACAGCTGGGTACAGCTAAATCAGGGCTGAACCTAGGGGCTTGTTTTTCCATGCACACAGCCTGAAACGTGTACGGTACAAGAAAGTGGCTCTAAGCATACGCAGAGGGCATGCCCTGGACTACTGAGTAAGCAGAACCAATCAGTCCCCACACATTCAAGACTAGGAAGAAAGGCTTTCAGGGGACAGAATATCACTGGTGGCGTTTCTGAGTCTGTGTAAAACTCTAGTTAGAAAATCAGAACTGATCAGTACCAGCACATATGCAAGCACAGTAATACGACAAATAAATACATTTCAAACAGCAGAAAATCTATTGATAATTTTGTGCTTTGTACATACTATGAAAAGAGACAAAGGTCTGTGTATGTGAGAAGTCTTGCTACAGAGAATTTTTGTATTGTAGTGGTGATGGCATGTCCAATCATCTTACTTTTAAAATTAAATGAAGTAGATATATGTTCCAGTAGTGGATTGAACCACTGGAAGAAAATGAAAATGAAGGTTCGTAAACTAGCAGAGCTGTTGTGCGGAAGGACAGGAGTAGCCCTGCTGATGCTTGCCAGGGCTTCTCTCTTGGCTGTACTTTTTAAAAAGGCCAGGTGAGCAGACTTCCCACAAGCATACAGTGGGAAGGGATCACTCTCTAAAGTAGTCAATAAATAAACACAAAGGCTTTAAGAGATCTCAAAATGGCATGGATATGCAGAGTGGGCACCAGTTTTTATCAGTGACATTACAGGCCTGGCCCATGAGTTCTCTTGTACATGGTACCTTAAATAGCAGTGAATATGTTAGCACTAGGAAAAAAATGAATTGTTCTAGCTACAAATTATTGCAAAAAAGGGATTTCCCCCCCAAACTAGGAACAAGGCATCTGGAGTGTGTCTATTTTAACTGTGGTATTTGTTGCACAATAAAGCAGTAATATGAGAAATTCCAACACAGAGAAGTAAATTCAGTTCTCTTAGGCTAGACACAATCTCAGTGACTGAACAAAAAAGAGGGTCATATAGTGCAATCCTAAGAACCCTTTCCTGGAAGTAGGCCCCATTGAGCAGACCTGACTGGGATTACGAGTAGATAGGGTTGCCAAGTGAGAATTGAGCTGCAGCGGGGGACTCCTGGCTTGTGGCTGGAGCGCGCACGCTGCATCCACATCACCTGGAAGTGATGCGTGCACGCCAGGCACGCTGGGGGCAGGGCCACGACCATCCGAGGGAAAACCATAGAGTTTTCCCTCGGATTACCATGGCCCCGCCCCCAGCGTGCCCGGCGTGGTCGCGTCACTTCTAAGTGACGTCCACATCGGGGTGGAGTTCCCCCCGGGGCCCGATCCGCTGGCAGCGGGGAACGGGCCACTGGGACGGGGTTTTCCCCACCCCCCCGGGGGGACTTGGCAAGCCTACGAGTAGACCTGCTTAGGATTCCTGAATTGCTAAAGTAAACAGAACCAAGCCAAAAGCTCCTCTCTTTGAGCAAGACAGTTACATTTGAATCCAGTAGCACCTTAGGGGCCAACCAGATTTTCAGGATATACGATTTTGAAAGTCAAAGCTCCCTTTATCGGACACAGGTTTTTGCTACAGAAACTCAAATCCAGGTGAAATTTGGAATGCAAAAATGTGCACACAAATCAATGGCTTCTTGAGACACAACCTCCACTCCCCAGCTGCTCAAAATGCACTATGGGTACCAAGGAAAGAGCAGTTTAAGAGGAAGGCTGGTAAAATGCCACATACATGATAACAACTGACCCCCCCCCCTCCTCCCAAGGAGTTATCAAGGTCCTTTGGGTGTCATGCCACTCCACACTTGTACAGGGTGTTTGGTATTTCAAGCTTGGGAGCAGCAGTTTCTGTGAGGAAAAAAACTCTAAAAAATCAGGGACATAGGTAGACAATGTGCCACCCCAGCCTACATGTTCAGAGATTCATGGTCTTCTGTTGGAGATCTGGAGACCCACAGCTTCTGCGAGCTAAAAAACCCTGAAACATTCAGGTGTCTTTACAGACTGCCCTTGTCTATCTCTTTTGGTTCCAGCCTACTACTGTAAAGATGTATAGCAAAACAGCACCTTCTGGAGGTGCAAAAAGATTCCTGATTGCCACAGCCATAAGCTCAGGCAAACAATTGAAGCCCAGATCCATCTGCTGCTGCTGGGCTCTGCTGTCCCTTGGACAGAATCAACTATCCTTATTCAGAGACACACGGCACTATGTTTTTCCTTGACAGGGCTGCTGCAGGAGAAAATTTTACATTTGATGACATCAGGAGGTTAAAATGTATAGTTAGTACAGACAGTGCCCTCAACAACATCCCCAGAACTACTCTGGATTTGCATCAGAAAGAACTGCTAGCACAAAATGTCCCAGCTCTTGGGAATGCAAGTGAGACAAAATTGCTATCAGAACCTTAACTATTGGCTTTTGTGATAGCTGTTGACACTAAACGAATAATCCTAACATTCCATTAAAGGGCAGTTCAGTCGGTGCTTGCTCATAACAAACTGGGGGGGACCCCCAGTGCTACATTTTATGATCAACGCAGGTCATTGACCTTACAAATCACAACAAAATTAATTTGGCATGGCACGCCCCTCCTGCCTTTTCACTAGGTCCTGTGGAATTTGAGCACCTGATAGTACTTAAGCTCTGCAAAGCAAGGGCTTCTGCCAGCACAAACAGTTCAGGCATGTGTGGACAGAACCAGTCATTCAGTTTTGGGGAGTCGGAGGAGAGGATTGCAGGGCGTCTCCTTTCTCCCACCACGCAAAAGTTCAGGGGTGTTTGAGGTGATCGCTGAGGGATTACATTGCCATCCTGTGCAAGTAACAACAGAGCTGCTGCTAGTACTGTTTGCTGCAACATCAAGGAGATAGGAAGGCAAAGGAAGAATACAGTGATATCATCAAGTACATCCTGCTCTGGTCTATCTACAGAACACAACCTATAAACCTTGGGTGAACTGACATTCACTGCATAAACAGCCTGAAAAACAACAGTATGGGGGATAAATAAAGGTTTGTTCAAAATGTGTACATGATTTCTTGAGCTTTATGGTGCTTAATACTTTTCTCCAAAGCAACACTGTTAAAATCACAAACACATACCGTGGTGTCCACAGCGGTGACCTTCTTAACAGGAATGTGTTTTGGAATGGGTTCCTTTGCAGAGACCATTACGCATCCCTCTGGGCCCAAGGTTACGACTGCAGTCTCACAGCCTCTCTCTAACAGCACAAGGCCCACGCGACCAGCATCTTGGGCATTACTGACAGTGATGCCTGTTAGAATTTCAGCCTAGAACAAAATATCAAAGCCATTAAAACAATACACATTGGCATATTTTATAGTTTAAAAGCAAACAAATAAGTTGTTAATGAGCCTTTGTTGCCCTTGTTTGAAAGGAAATACATAACCTTTTCCAGCAAGCAACGGGGTGCATTTCGGCTTTGGGTTTTCACTGTGAGATATTACTTTGGGTGTGCACAGACAAAAGGAAGACTAGACAACCCCTTTCTTTTTATTTGTAAAAATGTATTATTATTATTTTGACAGATGAGGCATTGTACTGACTTTCCATGCTTAGAGCTCTGATGTTAAGAATAATTAACACATGACCATTTTAAATACCTATACAAACAATACACATCCATGGATGTTTCATACATTACTCGGGCAAACCCTGGCTTGCCGCCACATACTCACTTGGCAGGAAGATGAAGCCAATCATTACTTACCAATTAGTGTCTGAAACATATTTCTGCCACATTCAAATTGTACGTTTTTAGATGTACATATAAATATTACATTTCTTGTATGTAAAAGATCTTGCATCGTGAGCTTCCTTTCCCCAAGAAGTAAAGTACATTCACCCATTCCCAAGGAAGTTGCAATGCAGAATGGCCTAGGCTTCCCAAGTCCCCCCGGAGGGTGGGGAAACCCCCGCCCCAGAGGCCCGTTCCCCGCCACTGGAGGATCGGGCCCCCGGGGGAACTCCACCCCGACGTGCGCATCACCCGGAAGTGGGAGTGGGGCCACGGCAATCCGAGGGAAAACTCTATGGTTTCCCCTCGTATGGCTATGGCCCCGCCCCCAGCGTGCCTGCCGTCGTCACGTCACTTCCAGGTGACGTGCATGCGGCGCGCGTGCACACACACACCAGACACCGGCCAGAAGCCCCCCGCTCTGGCAGAAGATTGACTTGGCAGGCCATAAGACTCCCCCCAAGGGAATGAAACACTTTGCAACAAACAAGAGGACAACAACGTTTTTTCTTGTATACCGAACGTACAAAAATAAATTTGATGCACTAAAACACTTGTCTTCTCTCCTTTAATTGAGTAACTAGGGGCAAGCTAAGGTTTTGTACTGGTTGCAGAAGATGCTCAGACCTGTCTTCACCAACCTCAAGTGACAATCATTCTGTCACTGAGCAGCTGATGAGGATGCAGACTTTTCATTCAAGACTGGTTGACAAATGCTAGAGGAAGTGAGATGGAGTGGCTGGAGCACTAGGTTTGGATGTGGGAAGTCCAAATTCCAATGACCAGCTCTGCTACGAAAAATCTGTCTTTGAGCAGGTCACTGTCCTTATTTTCTAGTCTAACTCACAGGGACCAGTTGAGATTCTATTTAGTACATTTTCTTCCCAGCCTTCCTCCAAGGAACTCAGAGGAGAATACACAGTTCTTCCCTCTTCCATTTTATCCTCCCAAACAGCCGTGTAAGGTAGGTTAGGCTAACTGAGAATGGCCAGCCCAGGGTCACCCCACGAATTTCACCACAAGCAGGGATTTCAAACTGGGTCTCCCCAAGCCTAGTTCAACAAACCGCACTGGTTTTCTGCATGCTCACTCAAGGAAAACGTGGGACAGAAAAGTAAGTAAAAGAAAAAACGCAGCCCATTCCAGATGATTTTAGGAATGACCGAATTTTTGAAAAGCATAACATATTCAAAGACCTTAATTGCTATGCATCCAGACCTCCTCCTTTGCCATAACACAACAGTGGCTGCATGTTTATGAAATACTGGTGCTGTCTGGAGTATCTGCAGCATCTGCCTTTTGCAAAAAAAAAGTGTCTCCAGCTGTCTGAACAGCTGAGTCACAGAGGGAATGGGGAGGGGGAACCAGGGCATCAGGAAACAAGCTGGGAGCCACTTCCCCCCCACAGAAGTAACAGAACCAGACAGATGGACGTGCCAGAAGTCAAAATGTACTACCAAGCATCAATTGTGACATTAAATATAAAAGTGCTGGGCTGCATTGGAAAGTTTTGCTCACCAATAAAATGATTTTTAAAACTCAGGGCTACAATTGGAGGAAATAGCTAATGGCTGTTACAAAAACAAAAGTAAAATTCAACAGGAGGCCAAGATTTTTATTAGTTTTTTTTTAAAAAAAGAATTCTGCACAGCATCAAGCAAAAGGGACCCTCTTCCCAAACCACCCATCCGTATTTTGTTAACGGCATAAAACATTCAAGGGAGACAAGGCAAATCCTAAGAAGCTGGCAGGAAATATATCCCCCAAACTGTAATTATTTACACTGTTAATCTCCACGTTTGTATACAACATCATGGCTAATACAATACTGTTGTTGCAAAACCGAGTACTTAAAAAGAAAGGGCCAGAGATTAGTTTCATAGCTTAACATTATGCAAACTTGGTACAGCACACAGTTCAGCTTCTGGTTGGCGGCACCAGCTCCTGTGAGCAAATATTTGAATTGCCGAACCTTTAGAAAACTTGGCTAGATACGACTGTGCAGTTTCAGTGGATATGCAAAACTGGCATTATGCCCTCCACTGCACCCCAGTTCCTTCACAGCTGCCAATTCCCCACCCATTGCTGGGATTCTTCACGTACCCCTTAGGCGAAGTTACCTGAGAATAGCATTGTTGCAATTTTCCAATGCTTGTTCTCTAGGCAATGCTTGCATTTTTTTGGGGGGGGGGGGGGGTAGGGAGGATTGTATAATTGACAGTGCCATCCTAAGTAGGGTTACATCCTTCTGATTCCATTGGAATCAATAGTCTCAAAAGGGTGTAATTCTGGCCAGGGTGGCACTATAAGTGCCACACTAGTGATACACAAATATTGTCAGTGTGGGATCTAATTATTAAATCCTGTCAGTGTTCCAGGAGAAACACAGGAGTATTCTCAGAAACATCAGCAAACATGCTGTTCTAGGCAATATATAAACTAGGCCTTCAGCTCAGGCAATGGCTACAAAGGTCTCACTCCTTCATGCCTTTAGTGCAACTCTCTATAAGCATAACCCTAAGCTGCAATCTAACAGTGCAGTCCTAAACAGAGTAACATTGATAAGATGTCACCCCTTGCCCTCTTTAGTCATACCTCAGTTCTCTCATCTCTCAGCATTCAGACCAGGACATCAAATTCCTACACTGGCTTTTCAGTCCTGCCCACATCTAAAGCAATACCCATCATTTGACCTTCAAAGCTCTCCGCAGCCTGTCTCCAACGTGTATCTCTGTCCTAATTTTATATTGCTCCCCACAGTCTTCACTTTTGCAACTCTGCCGTCCCCAGCTGCCCTCTTCCCTTCTTGAACTTCTTCGTCCATTGTCTCTTGCTGCTCCTTATGCCAGGAAATCCACATGTAAACTTAAGATCCCTTCTCAAAACACATTTCTGTGAACTTCTGGCTTAAGTTCTTAGAAGGGATGGGCACGAACCAGCTCGCAACCCAAAATATGGGCCAAACTTGGGCCGGTTCGGGGCTTGGGAACTGATTTGGGGAAGACGCACTCCCCAAACATTCACCAGACTGGGTAGTTCAGTTGTTCAGGGCTTTGGTCTCTCTTCGCCAGCTCAGCTATCTTGGGCTACCTCATTCAGCCCCTTTAAACAGGCTGTGCAAGGGAGCCCAAGACAGCTCGGCCAGCCCCTGGGAGGCACTTCACCCCCATATTTAACCTTCTGGTTTTGTTCCCCTGCTTCAAAGCAGCACAGAGTAAAACCAGAAGGTTAAATGAGGCCCCTTCCCGGGTGATTCCCCCCCTTTCTCCTGGCTGCAGTGAGCCATGGCTGTGAGGCCATTCAGTTCAGGGTTCAGTTCGTGGACCACCACGGACCCCAAGTGGACCGCCTTTTTTAGGCCACTGCCCATCCCTAGTTCTTACTCCTCATTCTCAGTTGTAAGAAGATCAAAATACAAAAAACAGAATGTCCTTACGTCCACCCTTGCTATCCTCAACTGTACTCTATTGATGGGTTTTTACACATGCCTTGTTCCTTTCTCTATTTGTCCCCACTTCCTGCGAAGAGAATCCTGCTTAGAATCGAAGTCCAGTTACCCGTGATGTACAAATGCAAGCATGCAAATTAAACAGACTACCCCCCACATACTATGATTATAAACCTGTATTAAACTCTAATTTAAAATCCTGGTTAGTGGAGGAGGAAAAACAAACCCTTAACTTTATTTTATACATTGTACATGAGTTAGGCTCTTAGTAGGATTCCTTCATTATTCTCTGTACAAGAAAGGAGGAGCAAGGTGCGTGTGCAAGTTTGGCAACACGCTAGGTTCACGCGGATGTTGGTTTAACATGCAGCCTCCCTTCCCCTTCATTTCTTGTTGTATTTGCTGAAAAATGGAGATTGTAAGGTCCTTTAGGGCAAAAGCCTCTCTCTTTTGTTTGTAAAACTTTTGAATATTTATGGTCTTAGATACCTTCCTGAGTGTTAGCTGTGCTATTCTGTTCTGGAAATACCAGAAAGACATTGCATCACTAAATACTAAAATATAATACTTATTTATATAAAGAAGTGATTCTTAGTGTTTAGTCCACTATCAGTATGTAACATTATCACTTAATACCCCCCAGCCAAATATAAAAATTGACATAAAAATATCACCCCCTACAATGCAATTTTATATGGGTATATTTACAGAACATGCCAATGATACACACAGATCTCAGGCAGTGTTCCCTCTAAGCTGAGTTAGTGTGAGCTAGCTCACAGTTTTTTAGCCTCCGGCTCACACATTTTTGTCTTAGCTCAGGAAGGAGGGCTCCAGAGGAAACTAATTTATACAGTAGCCAAATTGTTCCCTCACAACTTTAATGCCAGTAGCTCACAAAGTAGCATTTCTGCTCACAAGACTCCACAGCTTAGAGGGAGCATCCTTTCAATAAAACCTTTGTACCTGCTGGCAATCAGCAACCTTCTTAGGATAAGGTTTGATTCCTGTGTGCCACTTTTAAGACCTGTGGGAGAAATCTAGTATTTTACACTCGGCACAGTGAGCAGTCTAAAACAGCTCTTCTCTACTGGCTGTCAAAAGCCATTGTTAGAGGGAAGAAGAGCCTGCCTAAAATCCCACCCTACCCCCAATTTGTAAATTGTCCTCATTAAGAGTCACTGATTTAAGAATTTTAACCCACCTTTCTTCTAGAACTGATTTCTAATAATACCCTCCCCCCTTTCTCATTTGTTTTGGAGGGGTTTTTTTGTATTATTTTTTTTTGCATTTGCGTGTGTGTATTCTTGTGCCTGGGAGTCATGGTGACCTCTGATGACTCCTACTGGGGCATGGAGGACATTCAGAGAAGTGGCTGAATTTCCTGCCTCTGCCTCATGGCCCTGGTATTCCAAGGAGGTCTCCCATCCAAGGACTTTCCAGTGTCGGCCCTGCTTAGCTTCTGAGATCCAGAGGTCATTTCGGGGGGGTCGCGGGGGATCGCAGTTCCCCCGGGTGAGGTACGGGGGCGGGGCACATGACAAAGCCCCGCCCCCTGCTTCCGGCCGCCCCCTGCTTCCGGCCCTCATTCAGCCAGAAGACGGCAGGAGAAGAGGGAGGGTAAGTTGCTTCCTCCCTGCCTCTCCCCACCCCTGCCTGCCTGGGGCCAGGGAGGGCCTTTGCGGGGCTTCCTTGCACTCCCGCCGGCCGGGACCGTTGGGGGCGGGGTGTGTGGCCTTATGACACACTTCCAGTGATGTCAGGGGGTGTGGCCTTATGACACACTTCCGGTGATGTCAGGGTGTGTGGCATATGCTAATGAGTTATGCTAATGAGTTCCCCTAGCTCTTTTTCTACGAAACGACCCCTGCTGAGATCTGACAAGATAGGGCTTTTCTGGGCTATCCAGGTCAGGGCCCCCTTTCTAGTTAGAATCAATTTAGCTTTAGAAAACACACAACCTTAACGTTTGGCTTCCATAAGCCTAAAATTTGATATACTTATTCTGCATTTCTTTCATTTGGGAGAACAGAGAACCAGCACATTCCTGGGCAAACCTCAGGGATTAGGCTATGCTACATCTGGTGCACAGTGAATTAACCAGCTAGTTCCAACAAGCTTGATTTTTCTGGGAAAAGGGGGGGGGAGAATAGCCCAAACTACAAGCTAAGCAAAAAAGCAGGAACTGATAACCTTGCAAGATGTGTGCATGCAGTATTTTATGCACAAAGCACACACAAATTAAGGGCTGCACAAATAAAAGTGATTACTGAAGCAAACAGGGTTTAAAAAGAAGAAAGAACCCACAGCTTGAGAAATGTCCTTATTGATAGATGGTCTACTGATACCTAAACCCTATTTGTACTTCCTTCTAGCACAAAAAAAAGATCTGTCAGTAACAAGATGTTTTAGAATACTTGCTGTGCGTGATTGCTAAAGTACCCAGTGTTTAGTGGATGTGTGCTATAAAGCATGTGTTTCTAACCAATAAATGTTCAGGGGACAGAGCCCACATGGCAGAGCTTGCAGCGACATTTGATTCTTCCAAGTCTTTGGAATGTTGCTGAATGGCCTTATGCCTCTGCGGCTGAGAAGATAAATAACAGAAACTTCCTGCCTAATCCCATAACTGTTATCAACCAATCATAGACTCACAATTACGTGTAGCCATATGAATTATTAAGGCACCTGGCAGAAACTTCACAGCTTGTGCCGACAATGAAGCATAAATTTCCACTTCCCTTTAAAGTAGACAGCCAGTCAGCGCAAAAAAGTCACACAGAGATGCTAATTTTTATGCACTCTGAATTTTCTTTTACTTTTATAAATAGCTTATAGAAGATGATTGCAACTATTTTTTTTCCTTTTAGCCACATCTCTTTCTCCGTGAAATTACAACAGATAAGCAAATTTTTATGCCTTGCCCACAGTCCATTTTAATTTTGAATTAAGAATCCATGAACATTTAAAGGCTGTGCCTGCACTGTTATCCCTCTGCTTTGACTGATATGGCCGGGATAATCATGCATAGTGTGGGAGCTCCATGTGGCAACCTCCTTCTACCGGAGCTTCTGCACATCACGATTGTACCTGTCTATGCAGTACAGTGGCAAATTGCCTGAGTAAAGGTCCTCTAAAAATTTATAGCAGAGTAATCTTAAGAAGGTCTGCTCAGAATGTTACTTAATGGGTCTTGCTCCCAGGAAAGTATTCTTAGGATTGCTGCCTATTTCAAGAGGAGAGTGGATACACACTCCCTCATGCATAATGAGTTTGATATAAACCAGCTAGGGTTGGTTTATATAGGATTGTAGCAGCTGTGTTATGTTTGGTTGAACATCTGTACAGGACCTACACGAGTAATATTAGGGGTCTCTCAGTGCAATTGGGAACTCTGCAAAAGAGCCTTATGAACCATGCAGATGTTCAAATGAATGCATGAACCTAGGCATGAGGCTGTTGAGGAGGCAGAGCCTGTAACACCCGTGACCCGGCACAGGGAGGGAGGGGGGTGAGATTGATCTCAAGGGGATCAGGTATTAATAAGGTGGTAGGAATCCAGTCAGTAAGAAAATTACTGTTTTTTCTTCCCCTGGAAATTTTGCCCTGTGTCTCTAATGTACCCTGTGTTAATCTGTCCTATTAACACTACTATTCTTTTACTTTATCTATTTTACACTGTTTGTTTAATAAACTAGTCTTCACTCTGAGTTTTTCATGCCGCTTGGAGATCCTGAAATGCAAATGGTGGAAGGGAAGCAAGTGCCCAAAAGAAGAGGACCACCAGGCCAAAGGTCAGAGGCCAAGAGTTTTAAGCGAGGGAAAATTTTAAGCTGGGCCAGTTTGGCCAGGGATCCTGGAAGGTTTTTGTCATCTTCTGGGCATGGAACAGGGGTCTCTGGGTGTGTGTGTGTGTGTGTGGGGGAGATATTTGTGAAAGTCTTGCATTGTGCAGGGGGCTAGACGAGATGACTGAAGGTCCCTTCCAATTCTATGATTCTATGACTAAGGTTCAACAACAGTGTAGACAGATGATCCTACATGACCAAAGGTAATCTGCTAATTAAAAATGTTACAATTACAGATTCAATATTAAAAGTTATACTATTGTATGTGTATTTTTGGCAGGATGGTACACAGGCTCTTTTTGTTGATGACAATTGCAAATGTGGCTCTTTTCGCTGATGGCGATTGGTGGGTGAACAAACATGTGGACAAGGGGAACCCAATAGTTGTTGTTTACCTTGACTTCCAGAAAGCTTTTGATAGTTCCTCATCAAAGGCTCCTAAGTAAGCTCAATAGTCATGGAATAAAAGGACAAGTCCTCTTGTGGATCAAAAACTGGCTAATTAATAGGAAACGGAGAGTGAGTATAAATAGGCAATTTTCTCAGTGGTGGGAGGTAAGCACTGGGTTACTGCAGGGCTCAGTACTGGGTCCAATGCTTTTTAACTTGTTCATTAATGATCTGGAGTTGGGAGTAAGCAGTGAAGTGGCTAAATTTGTGGATGACGCTAAATTGTTCAGGGTGGTGAGAACCAGGGAGGATCGTGAGGCACTCCAAAGGGATCTGTTGATGGGTGAGTGGGCGTCAACATGGCAAATGGTGTTCAATGTGGCCAAGTGCAAAGTGATGCACACGGGGGCCAAAAATCCTAACTATAAATACACATCGATGAGGTCCAAACTGGTGTAGACTGACCAAGAGAGAGATGTTGGAGTCGTAGTAGATAACTCACCAAAAATATCGAGACAGTGTGCGACTGCAATAAAAAAGGCCAACACTATGCTCGGGATTATTAGAAAGGGAATTGAAAACAAATCAGCCAGTATCATAATGCCTCTGTATAAATTGATGGTGTGACCACATTTGGAATACTGTGTACAATTCTGGTCATCACACCTCAGAAAGAATATTATAGCACTGGAAAAAGTGCAGAAAAGGGCAACTAGAATGATAAAAGGGTTGGAACACTTTCCCTATGAAGAAAGGTTAAAGCACTTGGGGCTCTTTAGCTTGGAGAAAAGATGATTGAGGGGTGATATGATTGAAGTTTACAAGATTATGCATGGGATAGAGCAGATAGACAAAGAAGTACTTTTCTCTCTTTCTCACAATACAAGAACTCGTGAGCACTCAATGAAATTGCTGAGCAGTTGTGTTAGAACAGATAAAAGGAAATACTTCTTCACCCAAAGAATGATTAACACGTGGAATTCACTGCCACAGGAGGTGGTGGCAGCTACAAGCATGGGCGGCTTCAAGAGGGATTTAGATAAACATATGGAGCAGAGATCCATCAGTGATTATTAGCCACAAGGTATAGATAGGAAGGTATAGGTCTGGGACAAGTGATGCTATGTATTCTTGGTGCTTGGGGGGGGGGCTACAGTGGGAGGGCTTCTAGTGTCACTTAGAGGAGGACAGGGAGCTGTTCCTGTTGGCAGCAGAGCATAGGACTCGCAATAATGGGTTTAAATTAAGGGTGGGAAGGTACCGGCTGGATATTAGGGGGAAAAAATCTTACAGTAAGAGTAGTTCAGCAGTGGAATCAGCTGACTAGGGAGGTGGGGAGCTCCCCCTCACTGGCAGCCTTTAAGCAGTGTCTGGACGAACACTTGTCAGGGATGCTCTAAACTGATCCTGCATTGAGCAGGGGGTTGGACTAGATGGCCTGTATTAACTCTATGATTCTATGAAAACAGTGCCAACTGTCTCTTTGTCCCCATTTTTTGTAATCCACAATGGCCAATGAGATGGGGAATTGAATCTATCTGGAACACATTAGTTCAGTCCATTCCAAGTACAATCAGATCTCTGCAAGCCTGTGGCACAAAACTGCATTTTCAGAATCACAGATTTCTTTTATTTTGAAATGCATAAAACCTCAGTGAAATTTTAAAGATTATCTTAAAGTTTCAGACACAAAAATTAAAGTCAGCCCAATGGCACCTGTATTTACCTCACTTTCATTGCAGCAGACGATGTTGGAATAGATATAAAATTGTGGATCTAGGTCGGCAAGAGCTGGAGCAGGGTTAAATAATGTCTTCACTGAAAGAATGGAAAATATTGTCTAAATCAATGGCAGATCACAGTTAAATATGAATAATTGGACACAGCCCAGCAAACGGTCTGTGTTGTTATGGCTAAAGCATTTGCAGTTCCACATTTCCCCCCAGATATACAAATTACTTGCAGAGGCACAAAACTCCGGCACAAAACCCCTGTTTGCTGTTGTTACAAAACAGAGGGCAACTCTGATCTTTTTTGTAAGTGTTTGGTTAATGATTTCACAAGAATATTACAGTTCAGGGATGATAATCATGCCCGTCGTCAAGGAAAAAAGGGAATTAATTAGCAACATTAAGGCTTTATTGAATTCAGAAAAACAGAAAGTTTAATTAGCATTTATTAAGCATTTCCTGAAGATATTCCACTAAGAATCACAAGGCAATCTGCGATTGTTGACAAATTCAGAGAAGCATGGACAGTCACTTGGCTAACAGAATTCTCTGAAACAACTAAGCCCAAAGTTCAATTAGACATTAACATTTTGTGTTGTACCAAATGGATCATCCTTTCATAAAAAGTAAAATGTCATTTAGATTAGGAACCTAATAGTCAGATCTTGATTTTGGCCACCTCACAGCCCTAGCAACTTTAATCTAAAAGGAAATTTTATAATATGACAAACTCAGCCCCTCATTTTTGTATTGCATATAGTTCTTTCCATTTTTTTTTAAAAAAAATCAGTTTTGGCTTCTCTTGCTTCCTGTCTGCATTACTATCCCTGTTTAACACCCATTAACGACTCCTTTATATCTATTAACACATCACTAGACAGTGACTCCAAAGTGTTTAGAGGTAACAGAACAGCAGTGTAGGACACTGAAGTGCATTGCACTATTTCTGATCTTAACAGATGGAGTTACAGCTTTAGCTGTAAGGAAAATAGCAAGCAAAAAAGTGACAAACTTGATGAAGGACCTTAAAGTGGTAATGAACCAGGGGGAAAGAGAGACATTTGAGCTGTTGCCAAGATATGCTTTATGACAACTCTTATATAATATTGTGAACCAAGCAGTAATACTGTGTTCTTTATATGAGGCCTGTAGAGCTTGATGTAGCTTATGGTTTTTCACAAATGATATTCACTTCACTTTTGGTCCTTATCTTAGCACCATTTTTAGGCAACCATTTTTGGCTGACCCAGCTGAGCTCTGAGAAGGAGCAGGAGATAAAGCTGCTAGAGGGGTAAGTGTTTTTTATTTACTTTCACTTGAGGTGGTTTAGTTGAGAGGGTACTATGTTTGGGAGTGTGTGGGTGAATTGTGAGTTGTTGCAGAGTCCTGGCTGCTTGAGATAGGGTGTGAAAGGGTCATTGTTTGACTGTAATTGAGTGCCTGGGTGAATGTGAATAGCTGCTGGCCACACCCTCTGCTGAGGGAAGCTTCTATTTAAGGTAGCACCTTGCCAAAGGCACGAGCCTCTGGCATGAGCCGAAGGGCTCTTGGCCTGTGGCTCTTAGCCTAGGGGCTCTGTAAGAAGCCAAGAAAGAGCCAGAAAGCCAGGGCCCTAGTCTCCTTGGGTTCCCAATAAGGTAAGTAGACTTCTACAAGGAGAACCACATAAATAAAAAGGGTTTTAAAAGGGGGATTAAATATAATAATTATTTTAAAAGCAATTATGAAGCCAGAATGCCAGCAGGGGGTTGGGGGCTCTCCAGTGTTTTGCATGGAGTGTCACATGAATGACTATTTGCCCACTGGACAGAAGTCGTGGGTGTGTGCCCGGTGCAAGGAGCTCCTGGTTCTCAGGGAATGAGTTTGCTCCCTTGAGGCCAAAGTGGCAGACCTGGAAAAGCAGAAAGTCAGTTAGGCACATGGAGAAGACTCTCAGGGACTTGTTAGATATGTCCCACTCTGAATATGGCAGCCCCGTCACTGTAGGGAGCATGAGAGTCGAGGGGAAACAGGGCACCATGTTGCGGATAAGGGGAATGTGCCCTCAGAAGAGACCTCTTCTTCCAGCTGGTGAACGGGTATCCTTTCACACCAAGGAACCATCCCTTGGCAGAGAGGGAGGGGGGCTCTTGGTAGCTGGTGATTAGATCCTTAGGCAGGTAGACAGCTGAGTGGTGAACCCGTGTACTGACCGTATGGTGACTTGCCTGCCTGGTGCGAAGGTGGTAGATATTATGTGTCTTCTAGATAGGTTGGTACATAGTGCTGGGGAGGAGCCAGTGGTCATGGTACATGTTGGCACCAACGATGTGGGGAAATGCAGTCGTGAGGTCCTGGAGGAAAACTTTAGGCTGCTAGGCAAGAAACTCAAGGCCAGGACCTCCAAGGTAGCCTTCTCGGATGTGCTACCTGTTCCACGCACAGGGCTGGAGAGACAGAGACAGATCAGGAGTCTCAATGTGTGGATGAGACAATGGTGTAGGGGGGAAGGGTTCAAGTTTGTTGTTCAGTATAAGTGGCAGGCAGTGTTCGCAGATGTATCATACGGGCTGTAGTATGTTCCAGTGACTCATTTGTCAGTGGCGGCTCCTAATCAAAAGCCTGGTGGAAGAGCTCCATTTTACAGGCCCTGCGAAACTAGTGTGGAGCCGCCACCGAAAAGGCCTTGGTTCTAGTAATGGCCAAGCTGGCGTCCCTCGAGCCAGGGAGAGTCAGGCGATTCTGTGTCCCTAACTTCAGTGCTCTCTGAGGCACATATGGGGAAAGGCGGTCCCTCAAGTAGGCAGGCCCCCAACCATATAGGGATTTAAAGGTCAAAACCAGCACCTTGAAACGAATCCAATAAGCTATTGGCAGCCAGTGCAATGTCTTCAGCATAAGCTGGATGTGGTCTCGTATAGAGAGACCCATCAACAGCCTGGCTGCTGCATTTTGCACTAGCTGCAGCTTCTGGAATTGAGACAAGGGCAGCCCCATGTAGAGAGTGTTGCAGTAGTCTAATCTCGAGGTGACCATAGCATGAATCACTGTTGCCAGGTCATTGCGTTCGAGGAAGGGAACCAACTGCCTAATCAGCAGCAGATGGTAAAAGGCTCTACATGGCAATTTAGATGCTTTACCTTAATCAAGTTTCAAATATTGTCACAGTGTACTTCCTCCAGTCAATTGTTTGAGACTCCCTAAATGAAAATGAGACTACACAACCTGCTGGTGGACCTCCTGATGGCACCTTGTTTTTGGTCACTGTGTGACACAGAGTGTTGGAGTGGATGGGCCACTAGCCTGATTCAACATGGCTTCTCTTATGTTCTTATAAACCTTCTGGCAATGCTGGCTACTGTGTAACTATTGAAAGGAAAAGAGATGGAAGAGAGCTATGTAGGTCCATGGCAAGTCTGAAAATATTTGGAGGAAGGATCTTTGGAAATGAGAAATACAGTGGTTGGTTTCAGCAGAAGGGATGGGACATAAAACCTTAATTCTACTGTTTGGAACGCAATGCTTTGATGTTGTGCCTTTTAGACCAATCAAGATGCACTGGAGCAGAATTTTTGTTCATCAGTGAACTACCTAGCCTCTACATGGAAGGCTCCTGGCATAGATCAGGGGTTGGTACCTCCCTCCCACAGGTAATGGTCTTCATTGCCACTATGACATGGCTCAGCTGCAGGGTGGTTTTTCAAGGGAATAAGAGGACAAGGAAAAAATCCTCAGAAAGCTGAACATGGCCTACATGATTGTGTGCAGAACAGTGGGTGCAGCAATGTTTCTCTAGACACCAATAAGAAGTCACAGTCTGTAACTGTGAAACTCCAACTCTTCTTTATATTTAAGCTAGTGAAGTCAGCAAGAAAAATGGCATTCAAATCTAAGTGCTACAGTCATTTCAAGGATGGTGGATTTAATGACCTGCCTTGGCACTAGGCCAGTCAAAACAGAGGCCAACACTTCTACATTTGCTATAGAGATCATGTAATGACTACTAGTAGGACAATGAGACACCAGCAAGTGTAATACTGCCAATTTGTCACCTATAAAACCAACATGAGTGAATGGGAACAAGAGGGCTTACAACCACAAGCTTCCGTTTCCCCACTTTCCTGTTTCTTCTGATTCTGGCATCTGGGTGTACATCTGTTAAACAAAAATAGTCTAGTGTGCTTCCTAACATAAACTACTGCATTAAACATGAGGGTGCTTCAGACAAAAAAGAAAGGAAGTGCCACTAACACACTCCAGCTGGGAGGGTGTTTTAAGATCTCACAGTGTTAGCAAAGTGTTTATAGGGATTTGATTATACAGGACATTTCAACATGTGTTGCCTGTCGTCTAGGGCAGAGATGGTCATAGATCTGCTTGTATGTGCGTCTCACCATGACAGATAACACCTTCTCCTCAGGTGGTTTCTATCTTTTGGTGATGCAATATCTTGCACTAAGTTGCTGATGCTTTGCTTGTTCAAACAATGGGATTCTACTTTTTGTGTAACATTTGTATCCATGAACAAAAAATGCATTAGTTCTTTCTTCCTCCTGTGGTCCACCTCTTCTGTTTCTCCTTCCTGTCAACTTACACCCTGAATAGATTTATTCACAAGAGGTATTTATTTCAATACAACATATTTCCAAGCAAGTGTGCTTTGGTGGCAGCCTCACTTGATTCTGAATGGCTTCAGGTCTGAGTTTGCAACAGAGATGGCGTTAGTTGCACTGTTGGCGACCTTTGTTTAAAGCTGGACAGTCATCCCTGTGGACAGGTCTTTGCCCAGTCTGGCACTTATGTCCTTCAGTGTGAGTCCTGCATCCTGCCGACATGGCAGAACAATCTGCATATGCTCAAAAGTGCCGCTCTCAGGAGCTGGAAAATACAATTGCATCATCAAGATATGCTCCTGCAAACTGTCCAGGGCAGACAGTTTGTTAGGTGTTGAAATGTCATTTGGGCATTTTTCAGCAAGAAAGGCAAAACTGTGAAGTCAAACGGTTCCAGGTAGCTTGTGAAGGCAGATTTTGCCTGTTACCCAGTCCCCAGTCCAATCTGCCAGAACCCCTCAAAGAGATCAAAAGTATTGATAAACATGTTCCCCAT